GTATCTTACTCAATTTTTGCTCATTTTACTTCATTTTTCTGGAATATGAAAGATACTTCAAAAGTATAATTTTTACAACTTAGATCATGTAATTTGGTTAAGTATTAGTTGAGTTATAGTAGATTTTGTATTTGAGTGTACTTAGTGTGACGAAAATCACGAATTGCACGTGTGACAATATTTATGAAAACGACAGTAATATTGGTCACCTCGCTCTCCCGCGGCACAAGCTACTCTTCTTCCCGAATCTGAAGATTCTCGTTGGCGGCGACTGGTGAGGCCGGACATCTTCAGGCCAATTTCAATATTAATTTTATCGAAGCTATCAGCGAAGGATGAAGGCTCGATGGTATGACCGAACTTTAATCATGGCATATTATTTCAAACCAGAGACTTAATTTCAATCTACATATCACTGCACGGAAGCCGCGGCTATACCATTATGACACTTGACAAATTGGATCGCTCTTGATGAGACAGGCTACATCGCATATAGCTTATAACACAATCACTCATCTCCATGCACCATGAGCAGGATTTCGCGACGCTGGTCACCTATGATCTCGTGCATCACGCTCGGGCGGGGCAAAGTTTCCTTACGCTTTTCGCCGTCAGGTCCCTCCCGAACGAGCTGATAATGATACTGCGTGGTCACGCTGAAACCGCTGAGAACCATTGTACCGGTAGGCGAATTCAGAAGACCATTGATGTAATAGGCCTGAAGGTATATTAGGACGTAGTAAACCTTGATAGAAAAAGTAAAATATACCCAGTAGTGATGACCATTATACCTGTATAACGTGTCAGCAAGACGAAAAGGTCCCAGTATATACACTTACTCAGTCCCGTTGGCTAGAGATGGAGCATAGTCAGCTGAGGCTTCCAAAAGGGACAATATCTAGTACTTACTTCCAAACAAGCTGGTGTCCGTGACTCCATAATTCTTTTTGAATATATAGTCAGATTGTATGTAATCGTATTATCTAACAAGGTTCTACCTGGCCATATTGGGCCGTTCCAGTGGAGGTTGTAATCGTGCGTATTATATCTACCTTCTCACCAGGCGCGACTCTAGAAAGAATACTCAGTAAAGCCGGTGGTACTACGAGGAAGAAAGAGGGCTTACGTTATGTCCCATGTGTTGCTCAACTGGTGGGAATTTTCCTTGGTCTGGGCCTTATTATCCTCGGTGGAGATTGTGAGTGTAAACTCAGATCCTCCGACCTCAGGTATGGTGATGGACTGCGAAAGACTTATAGAGGCTAAGCCGACTGTTAGTCAGAACTTGTATTTCAAAACATCAAGAAAACGAACTTACCGCTGCTGGTAACTGAAAGCGTTGCCGTGGAGGACTCGGTCCATGACTCCATCCAAGAAGTTGTAAAAGGCTCCGTGTTTTTCGTGTTGTCGTAGCTCCAGACAGTCTCGTCACTGTCAACGCTACTGGTGTTATTGCCTTTGAGGTACGGAGAGCCTTTGGTAATGTTGTAGGACCACCATCTTGAAAGAGATGCGCGGTGATCAGTTGAGCTTCTGGTGAAGAGTAGGGTCAATACTCGGAGCTTACTGGTACTTTGCGGCGATACCATCGTTTAGATACAAATCTTCAATCTTCTTCATGGTATGGCCACGGGTGTCATTCGCTTTATTGTAGATATTCTGGATTGACCAGCCGAGGTTGGACAAGTCCTCCCAGGTAGTCTTAGGGCCAGAGGGCATGATGTGAATGAGCTCGTAGAAGTGATTGGAGAATAGAGAACTGGTGTTAGACACTCGTCGCAGAAAACAGCCCTTTTATAGGTGGCACATTTATAATCATTAGCACTTGTACTTGAAGATGCAAGGAGCATATACCGACTCAGCGACCAGTTGCATCGCATTGCGTGTGTCAAGTAGTTCGCAATAGAGCTCCGTGAGCAAACCTATTTCGGAACTCCTCGTCCAATTTCCAACGTAAAGCGCGATCAAAAAGAAAATTCAAGTTTCAGTCCTTCTAGGAGTTGACATGATATTCAAATGATGGTTTATCCGCAACGATTTTTCGTAGTTATTTTGCCGATTGTTGGATTCACGAAACTGTTCATGCCCAAACCAAGTGAGGCCGTACCTGCTCGACTCATTAAAGCGGAAGGATTGCATAGCCAGACTTTGGAAGCAGTTTCACCTTGGTCTCGACCACAATATCACCTGGACACAGAGCTGCGGGCTATGTTCCGAAATGGCAGTCAGAAGATATGAATTTCCGCTACAGGCTTTATCGATACCTTAAGTGAAAGGTTAGACATGTCCGAGTTCTGATGGGTATTCCGTGGTGCAAAGTGATGTTGAATTTATAGGATGGTATTGGGTTCAATCCGGGTATAAATAAGGGCATGGTTGACCTGCAAACAATCTCAGCAACCAACCAGACTCACAATGTCGCACCCCGACCTCCTTCGCTCAGGAAACACGTCTTCGGGAAAGTTCGACGATGTGAAAGCGGGAAAGGACATCATAGTCGTGGACGGCATAGTCCAGCCCGGTAACTCATCTCGTCTCGCCTTGCTTGAGTAACTTGCTGAACGTCAACCGACGATAGGCACAGGTGGTGTCTCGACCTGGACCTTTATGCAACCCAACTGGAAGGAGAAAACGACCTGGCTCCTGAAAAAAACAGTTTCTTTAGGACCACACCTCGTAGCTCACAACGACCACGGCCAGCACTATAATATCGAGCCGAAGGAAGAGATGACTTTCGAAGATTACAAGGTCCAACTCGCACTGCTCAACACGAGGGCTGTACGAGTAGACGCGCTTCCCGAGGCAGACGCCCTTCGCGAAGCCGAAGAGTTCGTTCTTCCGAGACAGTCGAACCACAACGACAAGGCGACCCGCTTCATCTTCAATGCTCTTGCTTGTGTTGTTCACGAACGCGTCGCTATCCCCATGTTCCCCGAATCTAACGAGAACGACTACTGCTACCTCGCCACTCTGGCCAAGTCTCTCGAGGACGGCAGCCTTAACTTGTCTCAGCTGATCTGGGAGCCGGAGAGTGTCCTTAAGAAGGATAAGGTATTCACCGCAGCTGCTGTGTTGGCGTATATGAAGAAGGAGGAAGAGGCGAGGCTCGATAAGGGTAACGAAGATGCCGAGGCTGATCTGGCCAACGACCACGCGTTTTTGCGCACTATAATGAAGTTCGATGACGAGAGGAGCCCATTTATTGCGAAGCAAGCCTGAGGCCTGGGAGAAATACAATAAGCGCCCGCGTCCACTGCGTGCCTTTGAATGGAAACATATAGTAATCATTGCTGTGCCATCATGTGTAGATTGAGAAAATTAAGATCCAGTTCAACGTTTAAAGAATTCATTCATTAAGTCCCGTCAGTATACTGTTTTAGGTCCTGTCGGCAGATATCTTGATGAACTTAGAGCAAGAATTCTCGCTGAGCTAGACAAGAGTATAGGCCTACGAAAATTTAAGGTCCGCCATTAGTCAGCAGCACATCCATGTTGACTCAGGGGAACCGAAGGAATAAGTACGTGAGCACTGTGAGATATACACGGAAAGTTTCAACGAAGGAGTCCTCGAGTACAATGTAGCGTCCGACATGTCGAAAAACTAAGGCAGCAAATGCAATAGACAATCAATACTTGCTGAAGGGCCACTATCTGCGGTGATGTGGGTAGTATCCGGCTCAGTACAAGTCATCACTTGTATTCTAAATTAACAATCAAGCCAGTGAAGCAGTGTCAGCACACTAAGATTAAGATAAACTTGTAAATTTTCACAGACCTCAGTGGAAGAACGGTATGTCATTCAACCATCCGAGGGGCTTCGTATCGTACACACCAGCTGGCAGGCTCCAGAATGAATATCCGAGTAGAATGAACAGGATAAGTCTTGCTGTGCAATACGTCACTGAGAGAGTCAAAACAGTCAAATTCATCAGTTCGGTTACCAAGTCCCTGCGAACCATAGCAGCTCCATATATGGAGCCCGCCGCAATCAATGGTAGGACGGTTACTGCAATGCTACAGATTCTCCATAGAGCCTGTCCGTTGCTGTCCGGAAACTCTACGTTCCAGGATGAAAGATGGGCGAGTCCAACAAGAAAGCCCGCAATAGCAGCAATTACAGAGCCTTCTTGCATATCTATCCACTAGTTCAAATAATCTGGGTGACGGAATGATGGAGGCGGGACTTACACGGGCTGGATTGATACATTTTCTTGCTCCCACCCAATCGATCCTCTTCGCTCAACCGAGGTTCAAGAAAAATCGACGAGAGACTATCCAACAGGTAGCGTACGGAGCAGAAGCGATATTTTGTGTGCTCGTTCTTGGGCTGCGTCGTCTCTTTCAGCATCCAAGTTCTACGCAAACCAGGCTTCGATCGCACGACTATGCGCTCGTTCACATTGTATGGCTTGTAAAGCCAGAGCGAGTAATACATGAGCGTACACATCACGTACGCACATGTGACAATCTCGAGAGGCGAAACTGGGAGCGACACAATAGGTCTCCAGATGGTTTCGGCGAAGAATCTGCAGACCTGCAGGATGGTGAACAATTTGAAGAGCATATCCACCTTTGTTCTATCCGCAATGTCATATTCAAGTTCTTTACAGTCGATCATCCCTGGAACTTCGCCTCGAGAAAGCATCTTGTGCAGCTCGTACCCAGAGTGCGGCCTTTCTCCGTCTTCAACTGTAAATCCACCCATGTCTGCGAAGAAAGCGTGCACCATCTTCCAATCTGGATAACCGTGTCGTTTCATCCAAATAACGTCCTCGCGTGCGATCATATGTTCGTAATACGCATGAATTACAAGCATCTCCGGAGCAAGCAGACCCAAGAGCCAAAACGAGAATTTACCGTATAACTCGAGCCAGAACTCCTTGGATCGGATCTTCTCGAAGAAAGTAAGCCTATGTGAAGTTCCATGCGGTACGTCGAAATGCACGGAAGAATATACACAGGAGACGAGGGTTGAAGTACACGTGGCGATGATGTCCATGGTACTCCTACCTCCGGAGTCGGTCTGGAACCCCACGTGAGAATCGGAGTTCGAGAACATCATTGGGTAGCCAAAGTGCATGGAGAGCGTAAACGTGACCGTTGAGACACATATCACGAACACAGCTAGGACTATGAAGATGACCGTATGCCGAAGGAGGTAGTTCGTACTAACAAACCTCTCCAGCGACGGGATAATGCCAATCTGGCCGATGGTTAGCATTGTTTCGTGCAACTGGTCTGTAACGCGTAGAAAGGAGAGTCACTCTGTAACGATACATGTTTGAACGAGAGAGACGAGACCTGCCTGTGATTAACCTGGTTCCAGGTTCCGTGCAGAAATCGGGGCAGACAGTCGGCTAGAGTGTGCTTAAAGGGCGTACAGGGCTTGGGAAAGCCTGCTGCCATTCTTCCGAAGTGAAGTGCAGAGCGTCTGCTGGGTGAATGGAAGAAGGTATACTTAATAAAAGCAGTGCAGGCTAGGAGACTGTGCGGCGCATTTCCATCACTAGGAATCCGTTTAGCCAGGTGGGATTCTACCCAGAGTATGAGATAGGTCACCGCAATGTGATATGTTGACGGCCTGTGCGTCTACGGCACAATGCGATGACGAAGAATAACGCATTAGGTATGAGCACGACTTTGGTTGAAAGGTCATGACGGATTGAATAGAGCGCCTTCTCTACAAGAAACGTGAAGCCACAGTGCCACGTTATTTCTCACGATCATTGGCTCCTGATATGGCAAGTAAGCACGTGTCATTATTCCATTTAAAAATAAAAATAAAAATATTCATTAACGCTGACATTTTGAGCATGGTTTTCTTTCTATGTTCCCGTTTGTCGCCACTCAAAAAGTATGATAATATCGACCGGGATCGCATACGGGCGTAAAATGACACGTAATCTGAGTGCGAAAATCGAATACACTGTAACGTCCATCCTGCTAATGGTCATGGTTTCTTCTGTCTGCCCGCCCCTGGAGCCTTTACCAATTGGCTTGCATAAGCAAGAGGTCGGTATCATCGTACTTTTATCACCGCTATGATCAGGGCGAAAGACGCGCAAATAAAAATCAGGCATTTCAATTCTCTTCCCAAACTCTTAAATGGATCTATTCCTTCATTTACTCGACTAACAGGCTGCGTACTCTACGAATGCATGCTATCTATTACTCATCCTGTCGGAAATTCGAGATTCGTTCACCAGCCATCATTTTGTCCATAACTTGTATGGCTTCTCGTACTCGTACTGTGCCTCCTTCTGCCAGTGTGTCTTAAAACTCGTCCACCCGTGTCAGGAACCTCAGTATATGCATCACTACCACCAGACATAACAGAGGGTGATCTATTAGCATGAGGTGAGTGGTGGGGAGTTTGTTGCCGATCCTCTCCTCCGAGAACCTGCTCAATCGTTGCGACAGGCGACGATGACCTGACGGTTGCCGATCCCTGAGACAGAGGTGGCGGAGGTGAAGTCCAGGTATTTGCTGGCCATCCGCTGGTACTATGAGTTGTACTACTTAATGAGGAATGACGGGAACGATTGGAAGCGTGAGACCTAGGCGGACCAAGATCAACCGATCCGCGAGCTTGAGACAGGCTCCTCTCAAGTGGCAATCCAGAACGACTAGAGGAAGTAATTGAGCTTGCTACATGTGAACCGTTACCGAGAGGGATCCCGCGCACTGTACTTGAACCAGAAGAATGTACACTAGAGTGGGAAAGGGCTCTAGGTCTAACTGAAGGTACAGGTGTATCCCAGGCTCCAGTCCCCCATGTTGATGTTGGAAAGGGGTCCGCTCTAGAATATGAACTGCTGGACGGTGTTGGAGGAGGATTGTAATACGAAGCAGCCGCACCACGGTCTGCAACCCCATACGAGTACTGAGCTGCATTGGGAGTTGGACTTGTATTGAGAGAAAGGCCGCCCATCATATTTGTCATTTGCGTAACCCCTGGAGCTTGGTATTGTGGTCCAGTGTACCACGAAGGAGCAGGCATGGGTGAATATCCATACGTGTACGTTCGGTTTTGCGAACGCCATTGCTCCTTGCCTAACTCCTTCTGCCTCTTCAGTTCCGCTTTCACGTACTTTTCAACCACTTTATCAGCTCTTTTCTTCCACTTTGTTTCAGCCTCTTTCTTACTTAATTTACTAGATATACCATCCGCAATTTTCTCCGCTTCATCCATCCATTCTCTGCACGTCTCAGCGCTGGCGGTACTGCCCTGTCCTGCCACTCCTTGCTGATACTTATAAAATATGTGTCCGTAGATTTTCTGTGCGAGTTTACTTAAAGTTTGGTAGTCGCTTCTCGACATGTCGACTTTCCCTGTTCAGCGTTGGCGAGCCCTTGAACTAAACAGCCAGGCAGAATGATCTTGCTGGGACTGGAGGACAACACAAGAGAGCCACAGGAGGCAAGACTGGGTGAGTCTTTTATACTCCTTCCGACTTTGCGTCCTCAGGACTGGTCTCCCATGTCGGTCTTCTTCGGAGTTTCACTGTAAACGAATAGTGCAATTCAACAGGTGTATGGACAAGCAACGGCCACTCAACGCGCTCATCTACACCTTTCTGCTGTATCAACCCCCAAAGAGGTACAAGATACGAGCATTGTTATAAAGTGCTATGTTTATGTAAGAGCAAACATAGGACAGCGCATGGTAGGCGCTGCGCTGAACTCCGGGGATGTCACAGCAACTCAAAGTCCGCCCAAAGCCGGCCTCAAAGAACTTGAAAGCTCAAAGTATCAATGACGTCGTATGCGTGTTGGAGTAACCAAACTAATTTGCGTCAATATCTTCCCACCATCCAGTTCACTCGAGATTAGCATGCATTCCCGAGAACAAATGATACACTTCGAAAGCCAGTAAATTACATTCAAGATACAACCAAGAGGAGGATAATCGCATCCTGACTCAACTCTCTCAGAGCCGCACTGCCCAACCCGCACCTCAATTTGTCTCATCGAAGGTATGTGCTGTCTTCGCGAAACCAACGCGATTGTTCGTGGAGTCGAAGACGGAATAGAAGCGTTCAAGGAACGTCATTCCATTTATGAAGTCCATACCCGAACCGCCAAGAACTCCCAACTAAAAGAGAAGACAAGCATTAGCTCCGAAGGGCTTCACTTAACTGCACTCACATCGGAGACAATCAGGAATATGGAGTTCGCGTCACCTCCAATATCAGCATTGAGAGCACGAGGCCACGTCTGAGCAATTCTATTTAGTAGACGTAATTTAACAGTGTTGTGAAGCTTACCTGTGCATTCTTAGTAAGCTCGAACTCTGTTCCACCTATGGTGAAGAAAAGGCTCTGAAGATTCGCAAAGTTCTCTGGTGAAATCGTAAGCAATCCAGTAGTGGCATCTTCCGTTGCACCGGTCAGGGTCATGTACTCGTTAAATGCATCTGTGGCCAGAAGAACCAACGTAGTGCCTATGAATAGCACTAATGAGAACTCCGACGAAGCTACAAAAGCGACGATCTTTACTGACCTGTGTCGACAACACCGGCCGTGGAAGAAAGAATGGTTGTCCTGTTTGAACCATACGCAATCTGTTGGTCAATACCAAAGAACTCGCTTGATGGGGATGTCGAAGTGATCGGTACGAAGGTGACATCGCCAACAGTCTTCGTGGCATCAATTTCACCAAATGTAAGCTCGCCGTTCGCATTAGGATCTGACGTCGTGGGCGCAAAGAAGACTCCTACGACCTCTTGTGAGATCTTTCCCTGCTTGAATAGATTGTCCGTCACAGTTGGAACCGTTGAGATGACGCTTGGAACCAGAGTTCCCTCTGTGAGATCTGTCGGCCCAATTCCCAGGATGCCGTCAACGCCCTCGAACCCTTCAGATATCAGTGCAGAACCAATGCTTTGGCCAGTAATGACGAGTTCTTTTGTGAGAGTCACAGTGTCCATAACTGTAGATGGAGCCTTTAGCAACCAGTTACCGTGTACATAAAATAGTCGCAGGGTGTACCTTCCGTCCCAGCGAAGAAACCGGAGCCATAGGTGACAGTAACAACGTTTGCAGTAATTTGTGATGAGCTGGTTGGAGAGAAGTGTTTCCCGGCTGATAGGAAATCTTAGTTCTTTCACTAAACAGAGAGAGCTAGTCACACCTCCTACCCTGTCATCGGTTGTCTCTCAGTACACATAGCACGTGATATTACATTCGCTTCTTACCATGTATTACTAGAGCCTGTGTCAATGATAAGGGAAAAGTTCGTGGGCGGGGTACCGACTCCGACTATGAACCGGGACAGATCAATACACGGCATAAGACGGCCTGCAATACATACAACTGACCATTAGCCACATAGGTAACAGCCTCGTTAACTACCCCAAACGAGACTTGGCGTTTTGTACGTTTACCACCAGATGCTATTGATTTTCCCACTTCGAGCTGATGGGCTGCGCGAGCGCGATCGTGGTCGGGAAGCCTGGTGCCGGAGATATTAAGCATACGAGAGAACGCGAGCGACACGGGAGGCTCGCGTACTCGTACGACAGGCCCAGAAGGCGCTGCGGACACAAGAGCAGCCAGAAGAGCGAAGGTAAAAGCAATCATTGGTAGATAGACGAGAGCCGGGGTTGCTCATCCAACGTTTCGTGGAGGGTGCTTTATAAGGGCAATGAGCGGATATTGAAACGAAGGAATCAGCAGACGGAAACAGTCACGACTATGTCAACGACATACTTCTGATATTCCGCATGCTACCAATATACATCGGCAGTCTCACAGCCAAGTCGAACTAACCGTATACAGGCCCTCTTGCATGGCGCTGTAGAGTTCATTGACGCCATGGGTTAAAGGTCTTCCGTCGAAGTTCTGGCGCAGATCCACTTTCGACGATCATATCTTGCAAAGTGGCAGTAGAATTAGCAATCCTTCAGATGTCTGGCTGCAACGGCAGATCTCGTGCCTGATTCTTTATGTGACGATGTTAAGGCAAAGTCCCGCGAAGCTCAAATGACGTGATGACAGGTTCATGGAAGTCCGTCAAGAAGATAGAAAACTGCAGATTATCCACGATGTTATCAGAACATGCCCTGGTGCACTCAGACCATTGGACGAGCAGCAGAAATACTCACACGAGGGATCCTCTTAGAAGCTCCAGGTTGAAAGACGAAGAAGCACCCGAAGATGATCCGTTCGGCATCCACGCCATTTGAACAGATGGGAACAAATACGGCGATGTAGCGACATACGGGTCGGGAGCTTTCAATCAATCAAACCATTATGTCTTTCAGCTAGTCAGGTCTTTCTTGTCACCGGCAATGACCAGTAACACTTCCCGAATCAAGGGCGAAATTGCGGGTATTCAGAAGCACGTTTGGAGTCTTGGACAGTGGGAACGCGGGAAGTAGGTGCATTTCATCGGCAAAGAAAATTTACGTCCAAGAAGAGGCTGCCAAGTAATGTGGAAATGGGCACACCAGGACGAGCAATGACTCTCAGCGACTATCCCAGCTACTCCCGTTCGAAGTATCTGGTCCTGAACCGTTCCACTTTTCTGTAAAGGACTCTCTCCTCTTAGAGTCCATTTTAGTCAATACAATAAACTTCTGAGAACTTCTGAGATAACGAAGTAAGATTTTCCGGGCCCCAGACATGTTACACAGTTGCAGAGGACATGAAGCATAAAAGACAACCGTCCGATAAGATTACTTGGTGAAAGTTGTAAGGAGGAAGATGGAGAAAACAGACATTCGCGACTAGCACGCGTTGTCGTGTCTCGTGATGCCAGTCACGGGTGCGTGACAGTCTGCCAACGTCTCAGGGTCCATCGCTTTTGCACTTTTCCCTTCGTTATTCTTCCCCTTGCACCGCAAGCCGCGACGCAATGCCAGATGCTGTAAAGTAATCTTATATACACTATCAGCTATTCTTGTACTACTGCGCCGAACTTCCATGTGAACGGTACAATACAACTATTACAAGGCCTACCGCATGCATCTCATGACGTATTCGGATTCCTCCCAGGCACCCGACGCGATATATTCCAGCAGTGCGTGCGGACACTGCAGCTAAATTAGATACTGTTAAATCTGTTGAGGACACAAATTGTCAGTCGCTGCAGTCGTGGCAAAGCATATTCAGAGGAGCTGCAGTCCTGTCCTCCCACGCGTCATTCTATTGAATGTCTCCTTGGGATGACCTGTCTCGGTTTGGCACGGACACTAACACAGAACACACGCTGATATCTGTAATGTCTGAGAATGTAACGGGAATAGTTCAGAGCGCTTTAACAATTTGATTCGCTCCTTCTGGTACGTGCATGTGATTCTGATTTACATTCCGAGCTGTGTAACCCGTTTGCAAGGAGGAAATCCTTGCATATTCAAGTTATCGGCCCCATCAATGAAAAACCGCAAAGGTCACAACTGGCCATTATGTTCTAACATAGACCAGCGTCTCCAAATTCCGTAGTAGCACATATATTCGTCTTTCTCGCGACTTTAATGCCTCAGTATTATACTACCATTAAACCACGGTGGGTACAGTCATTTTCTCTGTTCGCTCTTAATTTACTAACTATTAATGTAATAATTATTGTCCATAGGTAATACGAGTCTTATACTATCACTAGAATATTGTCCATTCATGAATCAAAACACGAGGATCAAACATGGCAGCCCCGAATGAATCCTGGTACGTTTCTCCCCGTCAAGCAGGCAATTTTCGCTATCCGGCACAAACGAGTTACGAAAGGAATATCATTTGGTGACCTTTAGAACATTTCTATCAGAAAAATACAGCCTATAAAGAAGACGGAAGATCCATACTAGGCAATAATGCAAAAAGTTCTGCTCGTGGAAGAAACTTCTACATCCACTGGTACTGACTCCTCTTCTATGTGCGTGGAAATAGTACGAAAAGTGTAACTGTCGCTCTCAGCCTCTCTCGAGATCAGGTGGTCACTGGCTTCAGAGGATGTACTAGTGGCAGGGATGGGCATAGAAGCAAAGCGGTCCATATCAGAGATCGAATTTGAAGATGCTTTTTCGAGAACGGAGAATATGCAGGAGGGTGATGGCACTATGCGAATGAATAACGAAACTACCTTGACTTCAGTGGACCTATATACCTAACTTATAACTACGGTGCGCTCTCGGATCTTCTGCTGCGCAGCAGCTACTACTAGTATGCAGGCATTTAGGATGTGCTGAACAATAACAGGTGGCACAATGAAACGAAAAGACAACTTCTATTCACTTGCATGGTCCAGACCAAATTATTCGTACTCGCCTCAGTGCAGCCTCGAGTCACAGCATTAGAGCTCCTATTTGGCATAGAATACTGCGGATGTGACTACCTGAAGGCTGAAAGATTGAACGTGCTGTGCCGCACTTCAGGTTATATTTAGCTTGATGGCTTCAAAAGCAGTTATTGTGAAGAAGGATGCCTTAGGGGGCAACTGTTAGGACACAAACATTTATCAGTATATATAGTGTGGACCAGGTGTCAAGCCAAGCTTGACATTGCACCCTTTTGGTGAAGAGGTTCTATGTATGGTCCACTATATATGGTAATCCCTCACAGCCACCAGTCTGTCAGCCCCTTTCAATGCTTTACCAATTATATAATATACCATCATAGCATTTTGCATTATCACTGTATCATAACTTCTCTTCTGATTGGCACTGTTGGCCATTGCAATCAGATACACATGTCAGCATAAGCTGATACATAAACACCACATCATTGCCTATTAGAATATATATGTACATCTTATGAAACAACACAGCCAATTAATAGGCTCAATTTGTTTTTACTATTACTTCAATAGACATTTTGAGATTCTCATGGCGAACAGAGAGTTCAACATAATGTAATACCTCAACCTTTGTCTTGTCAACTCAATACAAAGTCAACTTCGCGCTTTTACAAGACAAAAGTCTGTGGAAAGGAGGTTCCTTGTTATGCATGCATGTGCATTCCTTTCCAGCGAGTCTCTCTATTATACTATCATGTTAGTAACAACTGAGATTGAGTTCTGAACGGCTTTGGCACTGCTTTGCAGCAATCTGATGCTCGGGTTCGTTTATTATGACACAGCATCGTGATTCACAGCAAATCAAGTAGTAGTACGAGTAAGCTTAGATTATCAAATCGAGGTGGATGAATCATTGGTAGCCCCAGCCTCACCTGCAATGCTCTTCGAGGGAGCGTACTGCCACTCCAAGTATGTGGTACTTACACTCGAGAGAATAATTAACAACCCCGGCCTGACCGACACAGCCAACACCTAAGTGTCCGCTCTCTCCACTACTCGCCATTCGATGAGCATTGCCCCCTATAAGGCGATAGGCTGTTGCATAAAATTATTAATGGACGAACGGAAGCAGGGCGAGGCTTTAAAATCGTCGATGGTATTCCCCATTGCCCTAATGCACACATAACGATAACTTAAAGGATATTTACTTGGAAGCCGACGCGTCATAATCGTGATATCGTCACAACATAACACAAAGCAAAACAGAAGCGCGGGTCGCCGTCAGCCACCCCTTTCGAAAAAGCCTTTCACGGGTACAAAACTCAATTCGTCTCGTCGAACGTATGAGCCGTGGTCGCAAGCCCGACACGATTGTTCGTAGAATCAAAGACAGAATAGAAACGCTCGAGGAACGTCATTCCGCTTATGAAATCTAACCCACTGCCACCATGTTCTCCGAGCTACAAATTATCAAATCAGCACCGCTCTATGCGCCTCTCGAGATGTCAGACTCACATCTCCGATGATCAAGTAAATGCCGTCAGAGGTGCCTCCGATAGCGGCGTTGAGAGCACGTGGCCATGTCTGGGGATACTGTTAATTTACAAGCGAATATCGTGGCGAGGAAAGCTTACCTGTGCGTTCTTAGTGAACTCAAAGGTCGTGCCAGCGATGCTAAAGAAAAGGCTCTTTAGCTCCGCATAATCGTCTGGGGTGATCTTGAGTAGTCCGGTATTGTCGTCGTGCGTTGCACCAGTCATCGTCGTGTACTTGTTATATGCATCGGTCGCCAAGAGCGTCAACGTAGTACCTACGAACAGCGCCGTGAGACAACACTACAATATAGCGGGTGGTGATTATTATTTACCTGTGTCGACGATACCGGCAGTGGAAGAAAGAATGTCCGCGTTGCCGGAGCCGTACGAGATACTCTGGTCAATTCCGAAAAATTCGCTTGACGGTGAAGTCGACGTAATTGGTGCAAAAGTGATGGGTCCAGCGGTCCTCGATGTGTCTGCGCCACCAAATGTCATTTCTCCGTTCGTATCTGACTGGGATGTCGTGGGCGCAAAGTAGATTCCCACAACCTTTTGCGGGATCTTTCCTTGCGAGAAGAGGTTGTCTGTCACGGTTGGTACTTTAGATGTGATGGACGGGAACTCGGTTCCTTCCGTAAGACCTATCGGCCCAATTCCCAGAATGCCGTCAACGCCCTGGAATCCTCCAGCTGCCAGTGCTGAACCAATGGTTTGGCTAGTAATAACCAGTTCATTGGTGAGAGTTACTGTGTCGGTGACTATTGATGCCTTAGCAACTCTTATACGATAGTCAATATTTAATCACAGGCCGTACATTCTAATCCAGAGACGAAACCCGAGCCGTATACGATGGTGAACTCTTTACCAGTGGGCTGGCCGGGATTGGATAGATTGTAAGGCTTGTCGGCTAGTGCAAGACCTTAGCACATTTTCTTTCAAAGAAATAAGGAAAGCAGGGAATCGCACCTCCCACCCTGTTGACAAGTCCTGTGTATGAGTAGATGTAATGCATGGTATGGCGTTTGTCCCTTACCAGGTATTACTTGATCCCGTGTCCATGATAAGGGAGTAATTCGTAGGCGGACTTCCTACTCCGACTATGAAGCAAAAGCAATCAAAAAGCGCCGTAAAAGGAACAAATCGCAAAAGCAACCAACCTTCAGCTGTATATATGACGGTTTGGTCAGTCACAGCAAGCGAGCCCTGACGCTTCTCGCGTTTGCCATTAGTGGCTAGAGACTTCCCCACTGCGAACTGATGTTTCGCACGAGCACGATCACGCTCGGCAAGATTGGGACCGGAGGCATTGAAGGAATTGACCCTACGAGTGAGAGCAAGCGAGACAGGCGACTCGTGGACTTGAATGAGGGGTGCGGGTGCGGGTGGGGCCGCTGCCACGAGCGTAGCCAGAAGAGCAAGCGTGTAGACGAGCATCGAAGTCAAGAAGCAACGAGTGACAAGTAAAGAGTGGAAGATAAAGGAGTGGGGGGTAGGGAGTGGAGGATAGGAAGTGTGAAGTAAGGAGCGAAGGGATGGGGATGATGTTCCAATCCCTGGTTGAGGGTGCCTTTTATAACTTGTGAGCAGAGGCTGACTAGCGGGTGGTAGCAGACAAAAATAGATCGAATAAGCTGACCACGTACTCTGGGTCGCAGAACTAGCGACAGAAAGCGTTAGTCGCGCGGAATGCACTAGTCAGCCATGTATGGTGATCATCGACGAGTGCCACTAGCTCGTTGTCGTGCTTTCCTTACTTTCAATAACATTTGGCATCGATCCACTTGCAACCATCACATCTTTAACAGAAGATGGTTTAACGCGCAACAGCGGCGGTGATATGTTGTATCGACTGGGAGAGACAACGAGTTACAAAAAACCATATGCATGTAAGAACGTGCAGTGACTTTCAGAGTAGTTCCGCCTCAACAACATTCGATCGCAACTTGCTCCGGTACGTATTAACAGACCGTAGGTATTCATGTTGTGTATATGGAGTGGGATTCGAAACAACGAAGCCCTGCTAAAGTTACAGCAGAAAAGACATTTGCGACGCGAAGCAACAGCAGAGAGTCCATGTACAATGTACATGATGTAGAGACATGTCGACAAGTCGTTTCACGCAAGCCACGTGAATCGTGACGTCACTGATGATATAATCTGAATGAGTCATTCCGTGATCTAAGGACTCTCAACCTTCACGTTCTATCAAGCGTCTAATTTTCTTTGACCAGATTCTGTACTCCAAAATTACAAAGAAGGCTTCGGGGAGCAACAAATTGAGGATCAGGCAATCGCGATTTCCGAACTTCTCGACGGGCTTCGCTGTACTTATTTTTTAAAATTTAAACAGGTAAGACATTCATGAGAGTAGTTCGTCCTAATGTTAACGATACAAAGCATAAATACATTATGGATTTAGATGTGCAACTTCTCAGGACAAGCAAACGACATCCAGACGCATCGAGGTACAGCCAAACGCAAGTATAAATCAAGACGGAAGTCAACCCAAACGGAAGCGACGTGTCCTGACAATGCACCAGGACGTTCGAACCAAAACGGAAACCCTTGTGCCCGACACACGAGACTGATCTGGATAAGCAGCGGTATGAGCGAAATCTTAAGGGTACGCCTGTCAGTCAAGAACAGAATGCGTAAAGGATGCGAGATACGAACTAGGCTATAACGCAGAAGGTCCGACTGGAGTAAGAAGTCTCAGCGTCCTCCGGTGTCGACTCGGTATCATCACATTTGGAAATGACGCAGAATGTACGACTACTGCCGTTACTCTCACGAGCGACGGGAACTCCGTTAGTTTCGGACGACGTCGCGGGGATCGATACGACTGTAAACGAATCCATGGCTCAGAGCTCAATGTAAGCTGATATCAGACCAAAGACGAAAGATAAGCCAGGGATGCGAGAGGATTACGCAGACCTATGTCAAAACACCCTGATGTTAGTCGCCTTATATACTTTCCCTGCGACTATTTTTTTTTTTGGATACTGTGCGGCGCAGTAGCTGTTGTAACGAACATATCCAGAATTTGCTAAGTCGCAGCATGCGCTCCTTCGCAACAAAAGGATCAACCAAAAGGTATTTGCGTCGACTCACACTGATAAATCATATTAGCTGCATTTCATGCCACCTATGTTTCAATAGGAACATTTCAACGCGGAACATGACTCTTTATCTGTGCTGTGTGCTGCGAGTCACATTATTTTCGACTCATTGTTTTTATCCGCAGTAAATATGAAGAATGGTGTTCGGAATAGCGGTATGAGCCTATAATATTATTGCTCGCTCATAGAATGCGAATCAGGATAGTCGTGCATGCAGCGGGCTCGAATGGTCGATCTGTACGAGTTACTTCCGTGCTCATGCTAATTGTGCTTACTTATGCTGCTCAAGGATATCAAATGAAATTTAGCCTGGGCCGTATAATGCAGATTGCGCCCCCGGAGACGTGCTTATTTCACATATTGAAACGGAACTTCGGAAATCTCTGCACGCTCTGCCGTGGTCCGTATTTTCACTGCCTCTCCCAGTGGTTATTCTGCTGCAGCGAGCTGGGTACATGGGTGCCAAACCATGTTGCGTTACGGATGTGAGCTGCGACAATCGTAAGCTGGCCAGTACCAAAGTGTTTTTGAAAATACTATCGGTCACGATGTCGATGAACCGTCTATTCCGTCTTCAACTCCACGAGCAATCGCGTGTGATCTGCGACCACGGAGTACACCTTTGACGAAACAAATTAAGGTTTTTGTCTGAGCGTAGCGCTACCTCGAAGGACGTGGCTGACAGGGATCTACGCTTCTTCTCTGCTTTGGATTAAGAAGTGACGATATCATGACTACGACGTGCTGGCTCTCAAGTAAATCACTCCTTAAGATCTCTTCATGATTACACGCATTGTCGGAGTGCTGGGGAAATAGTCATTGACGGTTCTAGATGATTAGGGCAGGACGTGTTGAAGATGAAGGCATCATACGATACAAGCTATGGATCAAGCGGGCAGACATTACTCGATGTGGTGTATTCGGCTTTGAAACAGGTATTTTACCAACGTTAACGGTTTTAAATACAGAATGTTACGAATATTTCAGATATACAACTTCTCAAGAAATGAAAATGACAATCAAACGCAATGGGTACAGTCGAGGGCAAGCATATATGAGTACAGAAGCCAAGTTAAATAATTGCGGAAGTTAAGCCAAGCAAAAGGGACAATATTCCTCGAACGTGCCCCAGAATAATCGAATCAAAACGGAAACAGTCGTCCCCGGAAGGAGAGATGGGCTTGTATTTAGCGGCCGCACGAATAATATCCTAAGGACGTGTCTATCAGTCGAGATCAAGGCATGAAAAGGATATGAGATACGAACTAGGCGATAACGCAGAATGTCCGGCTAGAATAAGAAGACTCTGCGTCCACCGGTGCAGACTCGATGTCATCGCGTTGGGAAATGACGCAGAATGTGCGACTGCTGTAGTTATTCTCGCGAGAGACGGGAACGTTGCTAGTTTCGGATGACGTCGCGGGGATCGTTACGACGGTAAACGAGTCCATGGTACAGAATGGAGTGGAAGCTGCCTTGCTGAAGGACGAACGATAGGCAAGGATGCGAACGTGCTACGCAAACCAATGCCGAAACGCCTTGATTTCGGTCGCCTTTTATACCTTTTCTATAGTTACGTTTTTGGATGTTTGGATGTTGTACGGCGCAGTTACTATTGTAGCGAACATTTTCGGGACTAAGCATATTGCAGCATATGTTCTTACAAAAAGAGACCAACAAAAGGTATTTGCGTTAGTCCACATCATCGAATCATATTTGCTACATTTTACGGCGTTTCTATTTCAATAGGAGCGTTCCAGCACGAAACATGACTGTCTAGCCGTGCTAGTGCTGCGAGTCACAATATTTTCGACTCACTATTCTCAATCCGCAGTACATGTGAAGAATGACGCTTCAGAATGGTAGTATGGGCGTATTGCCGTTGACTCACAGATCGTACACCGAAGCAGTTATGCACTCAGTGGTCTCAGATAGTTAATCGGCACAGGTTACTTCTGTACCCATATTAATTGTACTTATACTGAAGGATATCTCAATCAGCTCAGGCCATAACATGTAGATTATTCCTCTTGAGGCGCACTTATTTCACATATGCACACAGGTCAAAGATAATTGGCAGCATTATTTGTCCTTGCTGTCGGCCCAGGAGCTTGCGGCCCAGGAGTTTATTTTGTGCCCGTGCAAGGGCCTGTGCGGATCACCATCATGAAACGCAAAGATGAATAGGATCTTGCTCATCTACGATCTTCTGCACGTTTGTAGACGGTGAGTCGGGAAATTCGGGAGGCATTCATACACAAGAAAAAGAGACAATAGAACATCCACTCATGTAACACTAGTCAGTGGATTAATTTGATTACTTCCCCATCCTGGCACTATGAAGAGACGGTCTCTTCAGCCTCACCACTTCATAGAATTGCCCTCGTTTTTATTTTCACACACATTCATATGGTCAGTTACTGACCGTCATCGCACGTATTGATCCATATAATAGTGAGAGTAGAAGTCGTAGTTTCTTAACAAGGTTAATCTCCTGCCACCTTCCTGGTACAATTTTTGCTTAATTAGTTGGAACATACCAGTTAAGCATAACAATATTGCACAAAGTGGACTTCTTCTAGACGTTTTATGAGGTCAGGTTCGGTCCTGTAATAAATTCGATTGGAAACACACGCGGTTGCAAGTTGCAGCGGAAATGCACATATATTCAAAGCCAATGGCGACATTTTCTCCGACTCCGATGTTCTTGTACATTCAAGAAAATCAGGCTGAAACCCTAAAAGAATGAGACCAAAAAATCACGAAAACATTGGCCCCTTTGCGTTTTGTGATTTCGTCACATTCCAGCAAAATATAAATCGAGTCTGAATCCCTGTCAGCCACATACTTCGAGGCATCGTTTATGGATTGTTTCCGTTCTTATCCTTCATGTTCGTCTCGTCAAAGGTATGTGCCGTGAGAGCAAAACCGACTTGATTTTCCTCGGAGTTGAAGACAGTGTAGAAGCGCTCCATGAACGTCGCCCCGTTAATCGCACCTATTGTGCCCCCGCCAATGTTTCCTAACTGTATAATTATCAGAACCAATTCGCAGGGGCGCAGGACTCGAGAACGGAATACTGACATCTCCGACTATCAAATAGATCCCGTCTGAAGTGCCTCCAATGTCGGCATTGAGAACGCGCGGCCATGTCTGAGGATTCTGTCAGCACATAGAGCGCCCGATTCTCTGTAGAAAGCTTACCTGCGCATCCTTAGTGAACTCATACATGTTACCACCAATATTGAAAAAGAGACTCTCGAGGATTGCATAATTGTCTTTTGAAATTGTAAGAAATCCAGTGTTAGAGTCCAATGTTGCACCTGTCAGAGTCGTGTACGTATTGAAAGCACTTGTCTCCAGAAGGAGCAACGTAATGCCTATGAATGATACAATTGAATTCTGACACAGTGTAGAAGATGCGGAATTATACTGACCGGAGTGGATAATACCTGCACTGAGAGGAAGAACGGTGGTTGAGTTCATCGAGCCATAGGAAATCATTTCATCGATTGCGAAGTATCGATTTCCTGGTGAACTCGAGGTGATCGGTACGAAATTGAGCTCGGAACCAGGAAGTATGTTTGTCTCGACGATGCCGCCGAAGGTCAATTCTCCGTTCGTGTTTATTTCAGCCGTCGTAGGTTCGAAATATACGGACACGACTTTTTGTGAAATCAGGTTCTGAGAGAAGAGATTGTCCGTCACCGTCGGGACAGGAGACCCATCGGGGATTACTGTTCCTTCTGTAAGATCTGTCGGCCCGATACCCAAAACACCATCAACTCCTACAAATCCTTGGCTTGTTTGAGCGACACCAATACTTTGACCTTCGATTACAAGATTTGGTGATAAGGACACAGTATCCGTATCTATTGATGAAGCCTTGGGCATTTAGTAGATAATTTCCATTATTAAGTTACAGGACGCACATTCCATTCCGGTGAAGGAGGAACCCGTCAAATAAGTGACTTGAACAATTGAACCAGTCTCTTGACTTGAGCTAGATGGTACATAGGGTTTTCCGGCTAGTAGAAGCGTCAGTGCATTTCTTCTAGAAAAAGCATAGAACGGTACCTCCAACCCTGTTGACAGTCTATGCATTAATAGACGTAGATAACGATATTAAGCCTGCTCCTTACCAGGTATTGCTTGAGCCCGTGTCAACGATAAGGGTGTAGGGTGTGTTTCCAACATCGACTATGAAACGAAACTTATTAATATGTAGGGTTCGCTGGAATGACAGACAAGTTTGAGTAACCAGTAGCCGTATAAAACAAGGCGGAATTTGGTGAGGCGGCGCTTGGTGAGACAACGCTTGTTATATCAATCGAGTTTTGGCGCTTCTCGAGTTTGCCTTCGGTAGCTGACGACTTCCCTGCGGCAAGCAGATGAGCCACGCGAGCGCGATCGTGTTCAGGGATGTTCGATCCAGAAGCATTAAACATGCGAGTAAGCGCAAGTGAGACAGGCCGGGGGCGCATCTGTGCGACAGGGGCAGGCGGTATCGCTGCCACCACAGCAGCAAGGAGAACAAGAGGGTAGAGTAGCATGGTAAAGAATGATGATTTGGAAAGGAGTGGTAATGAAGGAGTGTGGTGGAGGAGTGGAGAGAGGTAGGGATGAGGCTTGCACGTTTGTCAAAGGCTTTTTATAAACCTTACAGGGCAAGGCTGACTAGCGCGAAGTAGCGACAAAGATAGCTACGAATATGCTAGCCACCTACTTGTGATTTTTGCTTTAGCGACGGAAAGCGTTTATCGCACAGACTAATAGTAGTACTGCGCTAGTCAGCTATTTGCAGTGATCCTCGTGTCGCGTCGCAAAGCTCGTCGATGCCATGGTTAGGAATTTTAGATTTGGCAAGGCGATCAATCCTAACATGGCGAAAGCAAAAGAACAACAACTAATTAGTTGGTCTTCCACCATGGTAGTCGAGCTGTAGGAAGAAGCAAACCTTGTTCAGCAACGAGCCCGTGTCAGTGGCACGTCCGATTGCAACACATTTTACTACTTTGTCATGGCTGTACTGGCAGTTGTTGCAGTGAACATGTAATGCTTCTCTAAGGAACCGGGTCGTGTACGAGTCAAGGGTAATAAAGCACTTAGCATAAAGGCGATTGCTGGATCGGAAGTAACCATAATCAGGATTCAGCAGCGGCGAGACGTGACAAAATGTCACAGTCACAGAACAGGACGTGACCGTGTCATGCGTGTCGGTACGGTATGGTAGGTTGTGCTGTTGTCTTACCGTCCTCACAATGGGATCCCACGCCAATGAATCAATCGTAATTTTCTACGTGACTGACAGTACTACAGTTGCTCTGAAGCAATGCTTCAGACGTTATTGCAACACCCTGGCCCGCCTGTGAAATCTTACTGACAGGTCTTGGAGGTTGCCGATGTACCTCTGTTCTGGAGACTGGAAGCAGATCGGAAATACGCAAACCTCATTCTCCTCGTTATCTGATCTTGCTTATCAACTTCCTCCAATCGGATATGTGATTGTTGAAGCAATAGTAGAGTTTCCCTGAAGATACATCGAGTCGAAATCCAAGTAAAATGGACCCGAATAAAGTGGGTATCTCCTTTAAACGGTTAGGACTTTCGTAGTACTGACAGTGAAGTTCGAGAGGTATGCAATACAAACGGACAATTTGATCAAGACTCCATGCATGCTCGACTGGTTCTGAGGACGTCATCCAACCATACACTCGGATGAATGGACTACGACGGAAATTACTACCCCTGTCTGCGGAAGACGAATCATCTGAATGACCTATGTCATAAATCATCTGTTCGTGATGTCATCGGTTGGAAGCTCCCTTACGTGGGGGTTAGAGGTTGCAAACTAGTCGATGACGCAAACGTCTGAAGCGAGGATGAGGCCTCTGCATTCGCCAGTATAGATTCCATACTTGGAGCTTGGTGAATGACGCAGAGCATGCGGCTGTTGTATAAGCTCTCTAGAGATGTGATTACTATTGAACCCATAGAAAATTTTAGGAATTGTCATGAGATCCAGGAAGCCCATATATAATCTGTCAACACAGGCAAAGAACAAACAATACTCAAGGAGATGAAATCGCTGAGACGATCCTGGTGAGCCACCTCGATGATTGGCGTGTTATTATATTCTTTAACATATTTTAAGCAACTACACAGTCGGGGAGCCATTAATACAGGAAAGACAATTTGCAATAAACCCGGCAGGGCTGGGTGAGCACTTTAACACTTACGTTAAACCCAAAGGCTTCACGGAAGGACACTTGCACTGGTACATATCATTCCAGTCACAATCACCTACAACATTCCTAACAAAACATTTTTCACTACAAAAAGTGATCCACTGTTGCCTATCTTGTCTCCTGACGCTACACCTTAAGTAAAGGTATGCTTATCCTACTGCCTGTTTAACCGCAAGTTTATGAAGGATGGCACTTTAGAATGGCGAGTTGGTCTGGTGACAAGAATTCAAGCTACCATTATGATAGTGCATCAACATTCTCGGATCCTGCAGTAGGACTAACGAGCAGGTGGTTGTGTAAAGAGGTTAGTTGTTTCCATTTGCTGCCGTGCTCAACTCGGCTCTGGCCATACACTAAGGAAGCAAAGAATCAATAGTTGCTATAATGTGCAGAACACGACCCTTCAGGTTCGTATATTTGATACAAGGATTGACTTGCTTTTATAGTAGTATTTGTTCTATTCTAGTTAGTTTTGTAGATATTTGCTTCATATCGATATCGATCGATGTCCTATGCTGGACAAAAATCAGTAAAAAGTGCCTTCATGTGATGTAGGAAGGAATGTGCTAGTGAACAGCCGAACAGTGAGTTGGGGTCTTCGGTCTGGATTCATGCACAAGCCGAGCGAGAATTCAAAACTTAAACTCTAGAAAATCACAGCTAGTATATACTAATCTATCCTTATTACCCATAGTTTGGCTTCCTTCTGCATATATACATAGTAAAGCTTCAAATACTAGTGTTCATTAGCTTTCTGATTGAATGAAAGGCAGAGGTGTAACTGAGCAGTATAACAGTATTAATATTTTATAACTTAATGTAAAAAGAATATTTGGTATACAAGGATGATACCTTCTATATTTTAGGATACAGTAAAGAATCACACTGAGAATGCTCTGAGACAGACTTGGTAATTACAATAACTGTCTGTGGCCTGTTAAGGAAATTGGCCTTCAGTTAAATCCCGGCACATCTTTTCCGCATTTGCAATTGCCTCTATCTTTCGAAGTCGTTCATTCAAAAACAGGCGATTGCCATCTTAGTAATACATTATTGCGTAAGGTGCTCTAATGTGAGAAGTTGAGAACGTGCCTCGAGGTAGACAGTTCGCACAATTTTCTTCGACACGCAAGGCGACGTCCGACTTTGTCACTCTGCCATGGACGTCCATTTTTGTGGAGTACGTCTTTTTTCAAATTGCTTGAAGCGCCTCCCATTCAACTGTCTCGGAATAGATCAACTAGGCCTTGTTTTGCTGTACGGTAATACACTGTCACATTACTGATGCCAAATAGACATAGAAGGCGAAGGGGCAAACGTGGTTATATAGGCACCATACTCGAGGCAGTAGAGTTCACCCATGCTCAATTCTTCGACTGCACACTCTGGATCTCCAGCCGTGTTGCAAGAAATCTCTACTCTAGATGCTGCAGGGATCCTTCTCACGTTCTGGAAATTTCTTTTGTCGTCACCAACACTTCGAGAAGGTACAAGAATTCTATTCTTTGGGGGTATCCTTGAAGGATCACGAAGGCTTGCTGGGATGGTGTGGCAGAACATTGTCGATTTCTTTTTCATAACTGCTGAGTTCGAGGATAGGGATGAAACATTCAGTGAGCAGACATACTACATCCTGGTGATTCGGCTAAGACATACCTTGAACTATAGCGTGGATGATGTTTTGGCTCTCACGACAGCCGAAGTGGAGTGCGTATCCAAAAATATCTAAAGTCGCATGACTATCAACACTCATGGTGCAGACAAGTTGCGCAGCATTCGGGTCACGACTTTTCGATATGGCCATAGTGGAGTTTCGGACGTGGTTCCTGGAGAGATTGAAGAGAGACATGATGGTCGGTCGCGCCGTCTGGCGTACAATCCCTCCCACAGTGAGTCATTGTTCAATATGAGGTTCGACATGCACGAATTATTTGACCAAGAACTGGACATTTTCTCATATTAGACAAAACAATAAGTTTGTGGTACCGTGGAACGTGGATGAAAGTGAAAGTAGTCCAAACACAGGGCGACATGTGGAATAGGCGAGGAGACGAGCGACTAATTATCAGGTGATTGGTCTGTCTGGAATGATCTAAAAGATAGTATGTTGAATCGTGGGCTTAGTCTATGTACTCGTAAAACATCCAAACTTGACGAACTGCTGTTGGAAGCCAAGCGTAGCTTCAAGAAGCATTCTGAGGGTAGAATTAATATCTATGTTTCAGATACGTACGTTGAATCATCCTCAATGTCGTTAACCTTACGTTCGTAAAGTTGAATATCGCTCCCTCTTACTAGGAACAATGATTGGACGCTCGCCGGATCCCGTCCTAGACGTCGATTATCGACTGTTGTTCTGGGCGCAGGCATAAAGGAGCGACTCTTAGCTGATGCGAAAGACTTCATCGCCAGCGAGAACTGGTACGCTGACCGGGGTATCCCATGGCGCCGAGGTTACCTTTTTCATGGGTCACCAGGGTCTGGGAAAACGAGCCTCAGTAAGTCAACCTTCTATTGTCATGGGCTGTGATGCTGACTCATAACTCACCAAGTACACTGTCTAGCAGGTGAACTCGGGCTCGATATTTATGTGGTATCACTGTCAAAGAAGTCTCTCGACGACTCGACGTTGAATGAATTGATCTCGAAACTCCCTCCGAAGTCAATTGCTTTAATGGAAGATATTGATGCTGCCTTTCTGCGAGGGATTACACGGGAAAACGATTCTCTTGGAGTGCCTCCAATGCCTGGTCAGTCCCCTGGAGAATTGGTCGAGCCTTCGGGATCGTCAATGTCCCAGATGCCGATGCAGGCAGCAAGTAGTGTCACCTTAAGTGGTTTATTGGCTGCAATTGACGGAGTAGCTGCCCAGGAAGGTCGCCTACTATTCGCAACGACAAATAAGTATAACGCACTTGATCCAGCATTAATTCGTCCAGGCCGTCTTGATGTTCACGTTCGATTCGAAAATGCAGGGAAACGGCAAGCTGCAGAACTTTTCTGTTGCTTCTTCCTTCCGGATTCTGGGATTGACGAAGGGCTGGAGTGTGACGGGCAGGCAACATATGATTCTCTATCAGAGACATCATCCCCTACCGCTGTGAACTCTCCTGTGGAATCGCCTCGTGCCGTGTTGTTCCCAAACGAACCTTCCAACACCATGGGTGTCGTCAGCGATTGGACAATCTCTTCGATTGATACGGAAGGACCCCGAGATCACCATCCAGCTGTCTCTAGAAAACGAATCAGTCATCTAGCTCACAAGTTTGCAGATCAAATTTCTGAAGGAGAGTTTTCCATGGCTGCTTTACAGGGATTATTGATGCAGCACAAGACTGAACCGTATAAAGTGCTTGAGGAAGTGGAGACATGGATTATGAATGAAAGGCGAAACCGTGCAGAGCGTGAAGGAAAGGTATTAGACCAGAGTTTCGAGGAACAGGAGGGTACACAACATAAAGATAACAATATAACAGAGGAATTGGTGCATTCAAAAGAGTCAGCCACTCAGACAGAACCTGGAGACAATAGTAGAGAATTCTGGTCCAGTCAAGAACTAATATATTGTAGCTAGTAACACTTCTGTAATACATCTTTAGAGTTCTAGTTTCTAAGGAAGTACTATTTCTGAGTGAAAAGTATAATTAGGTATTATCTGAATAAGTAGTTAACAAACTAACTACAAAAGTTCTTCACCTGCTCAATTAGTAATATACAACACATCCTTATAGTCCTGAAGAGTCTGGCAACTATGTACAGTTTGTCTACATAGACAAGTACTTACTCTAATGTTTGTTATAGTTATTAACAGTAGTACAATTATATAAGAAATGAGTACAGGCAACTCAATTCATTACAGGTCTAATTAATTAAACTTGTTACAACTTTAAGGAGTCAACCAATTTTAATAAGTAACAAGTCTACTACTATTACAATCTACTACTCTTACACTCTCAGTTCTGTCAGTTCTGTACCCTTCTGTCTCAGAACTCAGGACTTCTGTCCCTCAAGTATACTGTATATAAACTATATGTAGGATGATCCCTACAGTAGCTCCTACTACTATCCCTCTCTACCTTGTTACTCTTACCCTTTGTCTACCCCTTTATTCTTTGTTTACATATTTTTGACCTTTTCACTCTTTATTCTTTGTAGCTTATTATTCTCTGAGTACTCTTGTATAGTTTAGTATATATACATGTATAAGATTAGACTGGTTCTGTAGTCTTAATCTTGTCTACTCTAGGTAGTCCTGTACTCTTAGGCTTAATCTATATACTCTATACTTGTCTTACTCTCTCTCTGTCTGTTTTACAAGTTCTGACTATGTTCTAATACTTACATTCTGTTATTTTTATTATGTAGAATAGTTGTAGCCTGAGTCCTCTTACTAAGCCTTTAGGTCACCTCTATACTGTTACTAACATTAGATTAAGACTACTCATTACTACCTTACAACTGTTCTACACTTTAAGTATTAGTATTTACTATTACACTAATCTCTTCTCTTTGTTCTAACCCTTTTACATTTTTAAATTTTAAGCTTTTTAAACTCTTTTAAACTTTTACCACTCTTCTTCTATTCATTACCCCTTTTAGTCTAGTATTAATCTCTTTATAGTGTAAATATGATCCCTTTTAAGCTAACTACTGTCTTTACTGTTCTGCCTGACTAGTAGTTATAAGTAGACCTAACTTAATATGTATAGACCTCTATTTAAGAGGCCTTTACTAACTATGTACTTCTAGTCTAGCTAGAACCTATTCTAATTGTTCTAGAGTCTACAACCTGTTTTAGAAAGAAAGTGTATGTGACCTACCCTTTAGACTTTAATAGGTAGTACTTTAAGAACTTCTAGTATCAAGTTAAACTATATGTAACTACTATTTTAACTAATCTATTCTCAGATCTTAATTATATCCTATTTGTCCTCTCCTTTATAAAGGAAGGCAACACAGCCACCTGGGCCCAGAACTGGATTGAAGGTTATTAGATCAGAAGTCTGATCTGACTTTAGAATAATTAGTCATATTCAGAATTTATAAGACAGTTTTAAGCTTTCTTTATTAATCTGAATAAGAGGTACAATATACAGAACAAGCTTATGTCTTTGTAACAGAGCAAACATTCTACTAATACTTTCTTTCAGGAGTTTGATATCCTGGCCTAGAAGGCAGGATTTGTACTCAGGTTTGATAATGTCCTTATTAGAATACTTGAAAAAGCTCTTTACTTAGAACTAGTTGACAAAATTCTTAGAGTAATACTAGAACTGACTACCTATACTGTATAAAAGACTTATACTATCTCTTTCAACTAAGCTGTAGTTTAGATATATTAAGTCTGTGTAGAACACTCTCATATGTGTTTGACTCTAACAGTTCTGAACCCTTAGATTAATCTGTCTGTAACTTACAATCAATCTGTCCTAATAAACATTAGAGAAGCTTAAAAGTAAGGAGTATACTTTGTCTACAGAAAGTCAGGACACTAAATTAAGGACTGTCTACAGAAGTAATAGTATATCTGTTAGGTTATTAGAGTAATAATGAGTAACAAGTAGGATTTGTAGAGAGAAGCTTTCTCTACAACTCTGAAAGTTATCTTAGAACTCTTAAACTCTAACTATATACTCTAGGATTTTGTAGAGGCCTAACAGTAAATACAGTACTAAAGGGCTATAACTCAGATTTATTAACAGTCACTTTTGATTCAATAAACACTGTAGGATTAGAAATAAATAAAGTAGATAAATGTAAATTAAGAAAATTATTTATTAATAAAGAACAATTGTTATTTAACACAGAAAAAGTTAAAAACAAAAGTAGATAGTTCTCTTATTTCTTTTGATTCTTCTCTTTACACTTTATCTGAGTCTAAATCCACACAATCCAACCTACTAACTCTATATTCTAAGAACTTAGAACATTCAGAATACTATCTAGTCTTGTTTACTACTTAGTAGTTTGTTTATAATATTAAGTAAGGATAGTCTTAACTGAGTTTGTAGTTGAGAACATAAGTCTATCCTTGTTAAAAGAGAGAGGTTAATAAGGAAATGTTAGTATATATACTTACTCTCTTAAACAATAAGACTGTATAAACTGTATGTTCCTTTTAGAACAAGTAGTAATTTATTAGAGAATGTTCTAAGTACTAACTCTAAGTCTCTATCCTCTTAGCTCCCTTCTTAGGATCCCTCCAGATCTGAACAATAGTTCTAGTAAATAGTAGATACACTGGTTCATACATTAATAAAGCCTTTGTGTAGGAACACTACCTTTCTACTTAATATGTTCTACTTCTAATTCTAGTATATAATGTAGACAGAACCCTAAACTAAAATAGTTGGATTATTAAGTTTGTTCAACTATAAATGACCATTTAGGATTATAAGGAAAGTATTAAGTTTAGAGTTACTAACCTTAGAAAGACAGACATCTTTATTAGATTTAAATAGTTTAAGACTTACAATCCTACTATTAACTAGTTAGAGTAAACACTTGTATTTAATTAGTGTCCTAAGTCTTACAACTACTTTACACTACTATTCTGAGTAGATACTAACACTTCTAATACTACTAACAGTTCTGAAGAAGGTAACTAGTTGTTCTTCTTTAACTAGGATAAATATGTGAACACATATTCTAACTAAAACAAAACAGTGTTAATCTGAAGGATTTCTGAGACAGAACTAGTTTAGAACCTACTTAGAACAACTCAGCTCTAAAACACATGTAGAGTCAGTCTACTAGACTTTGTTTAAGAGTTTCTTAAAGTCTTTAGTAAAGAGGAGTTTAACTAGCTTTCTAAACATTACCTTTAAGACTATACAATTGAGTTAACTAAGGGTTTCTAACTTAAGGATTATAAGGTCTATCTACTTAATAGAGACAAGTAGGAAGTGCTTAACAAGTTCCTTCAGGAAAATCTTTAGAACAGTCAGATCTGACCCTTAAAGTCCTCTATAGCCTCCTCTTTCTTCTTTGTTAAAAAGAAAGATAAAAAGCTTTGTCTAGTTTAGGATTATTATTACCTTAATAAGAGTACTGTTAAAAACAAGTACTTACTTCTTCTAATCTAGGAGCTCATTAATAAGACACATACATTCTAGGTTTTCACTAAGTTAAACATTTAATAGGGATACAATAACATTTGAATCTAAGACAGAGATAAGTAAAAGACTGAGTTCTAAACTAATTATAAACTATACAAACTAACTATAATATTCTTTAGACTAACTAACTTGCTTACAACATTCTAGTCATTCATGAATTACATCCTAGCAGATCTGATTGACTTAGATTATGTTAGTGTGTATCTAGACAATATTCTAATCTTCATCTAAACAGTTAAGTACTATTACTAACTAATCTGAGCAGTTTTATAGTAGCTCTAAAATAATAAACTGTTCCTCTAAGAAACAAAGTATTCTTTTATACAAGAGTTAGTAGATTATCTAAGCTTTGTAATTAGAGGGGGAGAGGTCTGTATAAATCTAGTAAAGGTAATTACAGTTTAAGACTAGTTACAATCTTAGAACCTGAAACAGGTCTAAGTATTTCTTAGGTTTGTAAACTATTACTAGTACTTTATCTAAAGCTTTAGTACTATTACCTGGCCCCTTCACAATCTTACTAGCAAAGGTGTTTTATAGTAATAGGATGAGTAGAAACAGTCTACTTTTGAGTCTCTCAAACAGACTATTATTAGTAAGCTTGTATTAGTAGTTTTAACAGTTATAAACAAGTTCTAAGTTAAAGCTAACTCTTCCAACTTTACAAATAGAGTAGTACTGTCCTAGTTTATTAACAGAAAGTAGTGTCTAATAGTGTTCTAATCAGAATCCCTTTCTACAACTAAACAGAACTACTCTATTTATAATAAGGAACTCTTTACAATTGTCTATTCTTTAGAGGAGTAATATTAATATCTTCTTAGTACTATGTAGAAGTTTAAGATTTAGAGTAATTACCTTAATCTCTAATACTTCTAAGTACCTCAGAAGCTCAACTACTACTAGGCCTACTAGATACTAGAACTGTAAGACTATAACTTTATACTAACTCACAAACTCAGAACACAAATAATAAAAGCTAATCTACTCTTAAAATGAGTAAGTTATAAAAGGGAGGAGAATAATAACAAAAATCTTGTTCTCCTTAACAATTCCCATTTTGTGTCTAAGACAATCTAAGAGATCTGACTCAAGTTTGAGAATGTTAACTTTGTCACTTATATATAGTAAGCTCTAAGACACACACAGGACTAAGTTGTAGTAAAGTAGTTAAAAAAGTAGACTAGAGACTAGAAGGAGGATAAGGATAGACAGGTTTACTAGAAAGGCTGACTGTACATTCTAAAGGATTGGAAGCTGTAGGAGGATATTATCTAAGCTGTAACCTTTGAGGTTACATACATGACTTTAGTTAAGTATATAAAGGGCTATTTGTAGACACTTAGAGATTATCTTTGTACTTGCTCCTGTACTTAGGTTGACCTCTCCAATCCCAGGTCTTTGCCTGTTCTGTGTTCTTGAGTAAGGCTCCAGCCTTTACACTTTTTTTTGAACA